TGATTCGAATCGAATCGTGACTTCTTTGGCAATACCCACCCCTAGCTCTGAGCATGCCCGATGATGACGTCACACAATACAACGGAGAGAATGTAAAACGCATCCATTACTTCCAGAAAAGTCTTCCAAGTTTTCTATACAATGTAGCATTTAGCATTATTTAAGTATATAAATAAGTATTTTCAGTAGCGTTATTAATCTGCGATCTGGACCTTATTCTAATCGCACATGAGCAGGAAGGATCAGATAGTGACACTCTCCATTGTTTACGGTCCTGATTTTCTTCACACTGATGACAAAACGCAGTTTTTTGGCCAGTGAAAGGGAACCAAATGCGGACACAAGTTTGAAAAAACACATTTAATGCATTATTTTCAGTAGGAAAGAGGCTTTAGTCAGTCTCTCATTCACTGAAGCTCCAGTTTATGGTTTCTGTAAAGCCAGAGACTCTCCAGCCTCCCTTTTTATGTATTCTTAGTAAAATGCAGCCCATGATAAACTTAATTAGCTATAGGAAGCAATAACCAAATTAAAGGGGAGCCACTTAAGGCACTGGTATACATTTTAAATGTCATTTTCAGTCTTTAAATGTCTAAAATCACCATCAATAAACTGGGATATTTGTTAAACTCAGAAAGCTACTCCTATTGGTTCTATTCAATATCATACCAACAAATTATGGGTTTTACTCGTGAAATTATCCTCTGGTAGTTAAATCTGTCAAAACTGAATATTTTTTTGCTATATTTTACCATTTGGATTTTTATTTTATCGTAATGCTTCCTTGAGCCAATAAAAAGGTTAAGGTTAAAAACTTGTTGGAGGTAATTTAAACATATTTAAACACATTTGTTTTTGATACCTGCTACAGTAGAAAAGAAACTGAACAGTTTTACAAGTTTAACTGTTTTTATTTAACTGGTTTAATATCCAATCAGTGTCATCCTACGTTCAGATCGCACGCAGCAGAAGCAGCAAAAACGTGCGTGCTGCTTCATTTTTGATGCTTGTACCAGTTTAGTTCTGACGCGCGGCTGAAGCATCTTCACTGCTCCTGCTGCGCGGTGGAAAAAGTGGGTCTGATGTGCGTTGGGCGGAGCTACTCTATCCTTTCTTGCCTGGAAAAATGGCAGCCATATTAGCTGTGATCAGTGGGGAAAAAGTCTTTTTAATGTTTTTAAGTGAGAAAGTCCTGAAAACTAAATTTCTGCACTCAGTTAATCCAGACTGATCTCATACGCTCACATATCGGCAGTGCGCTGTCACTGGGAATCCCCAGCAACAGCAGCCTCAGGCCCGCTCACATATTCAAGGTTTTCGCTGTATCCCAAACTGCAGGCACCAGGACAATAAAATCTAACATATTCTGCTGGCAGGTTTCTACATTTTAAGTTAATTTAGGTGTTAATAAACTTTTTCTGAGGAGTGATCATGTCAGATGCTCAGAAGGTCATGAGGCGCCACTTCAGCTGCTCAGACGTGCTGTGGTACCTTTTGCTGCGCCTTGATGTGCGTCAACCATTGACTTTGCATGTAAACTAGCTGCTTCTGATTCTTGCGGTCTGAAAGTAGCATAAGAGCAGCTCATATAAAGTCCTAATCAGACAATCATTAAACATCAACCAATGATAAACAGAAGTAGTTTAAACAGCAGTTAGACAGCTTAACTGCTGCTGAAAAAAGTGTTTTAATATGTAAAACTGCAGTAAATAATCTTTTTTGTTTTAAATAACTGAAGAAAAAAACAGTTTCCACAGTAAACTAGAGTGTAGCTCAACCACTGTACCTGTTTCAGGGAGATATTTTCGTCCTTGAGCTTCATCACATGTTTGATCTTCTGCTTCTGGTTTTGGTGCCCCAGGAGGCGAGCGTAAGCGTCGGCTAATTTGTTTAATTCTACCTGGTTCGCCCCGTTCTCATTAAGCAGAGCATCTCGCTCGGCTGAAAACGCGTTTAGTTGCTCCTGCGGGAGAACATCCACACAAGTATCATTTAGTTTGACAAGTGAACATCTGTAGATACAGCAGTGAGGAAAGGAAACCTTATAGAAGCAGACAGAGAAACGCTCGGCGTTCATTTCCAGCTGACCTGAAAAGGCCCGACTTTGGAGATCAGTTCCTCGTATCGTTTCTTCCAGAGCTCCACCTCCGAACGCGGGAAGCTTCAAGATAAAATAATTAGCGACTCCGGAAGGTGTAAAAAGAGCACCACATCACAGAGAAATATTCACCACTGCTCACCTCTCCTCCTGCACTTCAGCTAGTCGTCTCTGGAGTTCCTGTCGCTGCTCCTCCATCTCCCACTGCAGGGTGACCTTCTCCTGAGTCAGAGCCTCCACCTGCTCCCTCAGAGCTCCTCCGTCCTCCTGCTTCCTGTCCAGCTCCTGCTGCAGAGCCTCCATCTTCTCCAGCATGTGGACTAATTGGGCCTTGAGGGCGGCGTTGTCCTGCTCAGAGTCATCCAGGCGAGACTGAAGCTGATCTCTGTCCCTCTCAGCTCTGATTAACTCCTCCTCCAGCGCGTGGCTGAACTCCTTTTTCAGTTCCACTTCTGACAGCAAACTCCTCCGCTCCTCATCCACCTTGTGGAGCTCGGCCTGCAGCCCGAGCAGCTCTGACCTGACCTGCTGATGGTGGTGGTTCCTCTCCACCTCCAAAGCTGCTCTCTCCTCCTGAAGGGCTGCTTGGATTTGAGCTTTCTCCTCCTGTTCTTCTTGGAGTCGCTTCATTATTTCCTCTTTTTGATGACCGAGCTCCTCCAGGAGTTTCTGGGCTTTTTCCCTCTCGTTTTGGATCTCAGCAGCGCTCACATTCCTCTGTTCCTCCACACATCTCAGAGCCTTTTCCTTCTCGTTTTGCTGCGTCTGGAGCTCCTTTTGAAGCAGGCCGATCTGAGCAGCATGACTGGCGTCTGCAGCTTTAATTTGCTCTTCTTGTTGCGCGAGGCGAGCTTGCACCTCAAGCAGCATCCTACGAGAGAAAGAACAAACCCTTTAACTCTAGAAATACCAAGATTTTAAAGGGAAATAACTTTATTTACATTAATCATATGTTGCTCTTGTTAATTGACTTCTGCTGTTTCTTTATTTCTTTTAATAAAATAAAAAATAACTATGGTTAATTTTCCCTCAATCTCCCACAACGCTCATTTTGACAGCTCTATTAGTTGCATTGTAAATTCTTTCCGTGGTTGATTGACATTCTGTACTGTTGCCTAGCAACCAACATATCTAGAACTCTTTGGCCGTTTCTCAATCTGTGTATTTGTGCGTTCTCGTGTGATCGTGAAACGTCATCATCCTGAGCCCTAATACTGTTCCAATTCACGAGAAGAGCAGACTGAGAACAGACAAGATGTTGTTCTCATCCCTTCTTTTTTTACCCAGCATGCATCAGAGCAGACGTGTCCGTCCTCCAGACTGAGAGCTGTCCCAGCATGCACTGCTGCAGCAGCAGCAGCTTCCAGGTTAGCGCTCACAGAGCTCAGAGTATTGAGTTAAAAGTTTTCTTTTCTGTTGCTGTTGTTCAATAAAAAGTACGTTTTAAGGTAATTTGAGGCGAGAATATTAAACTTTAAGCGTCACTATATGGAACATCTACTGATTTAATGCATAATTTGCATGCAGCAGCCCTCTCTGCATGGCTGTGTGTGAAGGACCGCTGGATCTGATGGAGAGTTTTTTATTTTATTTGGCAAAATATTAATTTGATTTGTGTTTATGTGACTGACTTAACTATTATTCCTCCACTAAATGAAAAAAAGTAAGATTTTATTATCTAGAGACTATTAATAACAGGGGGTGAAATGCAGCTCCAGACTAGCAGAGCGTGTGGTGATGTCATCAGTACGCTTCTGTTCCAATTAACAGATTTATACTGTGTGCTCCCATTCTCCCAGAGTCCAGACTTTACTGTGTTCTTGTCAAGAACAGACTTGGTGAGAACACGAGTCCGTACTCACGTTGTTGTGAATTGAGAAACAGTCTTTGGCTAGTATAGAAAAATGGCTTTCAGAATAAATCTGACAGAGAAACAGGCTTTAGAAATATCGATGATAGCGATTCGGGCGAAAGGGAGAGACCTATGAGGGGGACTGGATAGGAAGCGACTGAGATTCTGACTGAGGATGATCGCCCACGCCCTGCAAAATGCAAACATCAGTAACCCATCAGACAATAGTGAAACTTTTGTCTGATGGGTCACTGATACACTCAGCAGCCTAAAAGCCAAACCGGAGCCCCCAGGCTACTATATTCAGATGAAGGTTGCCGTGCCGACCACATGCAGGTTACCTGAAGAGCAGCTTTAGCAAGGGCAAAGAAAACATCGCCAGGTGCTTCAGCGCTAACCTGACTCCGCCAGATGGATTTGCTCCGCATATCCATCTGGAAACCTTCC